CAGTGGCGAGTCTCCTCTTAATAAGATCTCAGACTGGGGTTCCTCAAGGATCTATACTCAGTCCTCTTCTCTTCTCAGTTGATATTGCCTCCTTTGGTTTAATTATTCACCCATAATCTTTTCTATCTATGTCGCTACACTGATGACACGCTGCTCTATTTGTTCTCCCTGCCAGTTGATCCAAAAGTCTTTGTGGCAATCTCAATAATATAACATCAAAGATTTGTCCAAATGAATGAAGAAAAGGTAGTTTTGTGCCCAGAACTCTCTGCCAAGCCTTCAGTATCAAATTAGTGTTTAGTCACTGTTTCCAACAAAGTGGGGACAACAGCGTGATGACCAACAAAAGGTCCCATGACAAAGTGTGATTTCAGGCAGTCCTATTTAAACTCACTGGTCTTCAGTCTGCACTTATTTAAGCCAATGAATGGAAGCCACATCAGTAGCTGCATCAAGACATTCAAGTCAGTTTCTAATTGTTGACCTAACCCCTAAAAACTCCCTTCCAGCCTTAAAAGGTTGCCTTAACACTGTTGCTTCATCTAGAATGTGCAGATTTACATAATCCCAACCTGTTTCTCCATTCACTCCTCCCCACTTGCTGCAGCTTGAGCACATCAGCTCACCTACAGCTCTGCTCAAACACTGTAAAGCTACTCTACAGAGTGGCAAGCTGTGGTATTAGAGAAGTTAACCCATACATGTTCGAACCAGAAATCTGGATACGGATATTGAAAGTTCCACCCTGCAATTTGGCAACATTAGTTCTTTAGGTTTGTTACGTATGAAACCCTGGAGGTTTGAATCTGTGTTTTTGAAACTCATTGGTACACTTAAGCTGCAAGATGCTTAACCATGGTGTTGACTGCTTATTTTACTCATGACTTGTCTGCTAGCATATAAAAGAAACCTCACTGACATGTTAGCAAGATTAAAAAAAGGATTTTTTTTTACCAAAACTGAAACGGCACACAAACATTATTCGCCATATAAAATGCTAGAGTGGACAGTAAAGGAAGTTATGTATAAGGTATGACAATATAAAGAGAGCAAATCTCTGATTGCAGCATCAGACAATCCAGGAGATCCACAGTAAGACTCTTTGCTGTTAAACCAGTTAAGCATCACATCCTACGCTGCTGCGATTAGTAACCACAATGTAAATGCCTGTCTATCCATCAATGTGACTGCATTTATCCAGACTTGTTCCCAGGGATGTGGTAATGTTACTGGATTCATCCTGGTGAGATTACAACAGTGTTTATTCAAGCAGGAGACTCACATGTGGAGTTGGTATCAGATTATTGGAAATGTGCACATCTGAAAGTTTATGCAATATTTCTCACAACATAGACTGTCATGGGTTAGATTCAGTCTTGGTGTGTCATATATTAATGTTTCCTATCAATAAAACCCCGAGGAACATATATATTATATATATTCTTTTTTTTGTTTGTTTGTTTGTTTGTTGTTTTTTTATTTTTTTAATAATATATTGTAGCGAACATGCAGTCATGCCTTTGTTTCATTTGTCTTCCTAAGAATTACAAAACTCAGTGACTGAATAAAGATTAGCGTTTATCTGGCACTGATTTCCACACCGTTTTCAATACATTGTGTTCAGGCAGGAATATGGCATGTAGCTGTTTGCTTTCCCACCTGAAGGATCGACTGTCTGACGTGAACCACGTGACCAAAATGTGAGTAACAGCAGCCGGAGGACGGCGGCTGGTCCAGTCTTGTCCACCACACCCCGCTCAGGCAGGGGACTTCAGCCTTGTTAGAGGGGGAATATGGGGGGTTTCTCAGTTTTGATGTTTTCATTTTCATTTTTAACTCCCTGGTGTTTCATAAACAGGGAAAATGCTGCTGGTAAATTGAACCAAAATCCACATTTGTACCTTCCTTTGGAGAGAATCTGAGATTTTCAGATGAACAAAAAAAAACAAGGTGTGTAGATTGGAACTGAGCCTAAAAAAACACAATTAAAATTGGAAACAAATGACTTTTTTTCAGATTTTAAAGTTTCTGTGACATCAAGGAGTTAACACTAAATTACAGGTTTGGTTTTATTGGCCTAATAAGTCGGCACCACCCATTAGAGTAAAACCCAGCTTTAAAGAAGAGCCGTAAAAAGGTGTGTGGGAATATGTGATGGATGTGAGTTCATATGTCATCAGTGTCATTTTAAAGTTAAACTCGTTTTTTCATTTGCAGTCTTCTCCTTCACACGCCCGTCATTCAAACACAGCAACCGATGCTGTGCCCTTTGTAATAATGCAGCCATTTACAGTCCGCTGTGACAAGACACATACATGCAGTGATCAGTGACGGCTGATCGCATATTTCAGCGTCTAGTCATGAACACACGAGGAATCCTGCCGCAGCTGAAGCTCCTGTTCTTGTTTCCCAGAGTTCTAAAGCACATTAAAGGTCACAGGTGGTGCATTTCTCATATGTGTAATATAGTGTATGTGTGCGACACAAGATAGTGAAAGATTCAAAGAAGTTTGGACTTTTTAATATCAGAAAACTGCTCGTGGCATTTGTTGCAAAGCAGCATTTCAGTATTACCTTGTATTTATGTTAGTTGTACTCTTTTAAGTAGTTTTAAAACACTTTGTACAAAAACAGTGAAAACTTGGCAGCAAAGGTGCCAGAAAAAAATAAGTTTGAAAAAATGGTAGAATGCTGTAATGTTTGAAAACTGCTAAACAAAAAGTGTAAGTTGGTTCATTGACTTCTAAAAGTTTGTCAGCTTAAAAACTTGTGTTCATAAATACGATATTTAAGTACATCACACTTAAAAATTCCTTTTAGATAATGTTAAAAATACTACTCAGACTAACTTGTTGTTTTGTTTTTTAATTAATCAACTTAAAAACTTTAAGCAAAAAAAATCATATTGAATATCTTTAATGAATTCCCCAAACTTTGTGTAGTTTCTTGGTTGTCACTAGAAGTTGTCATAACTCAAAAAGACTGATGCAAACTGTTGTTAAGCTTTATTTTTAGAGCGTAGTGACTCACATGGAGCCATTTTCCTCTTTGCACTCCACAGAAGTTCCAATTTTCTTTCTCCAAACACGCACACGTTCACTCTTTCCCAAACTCTCCAGGCCTCTCTGGCACTCTGAGGATCAGCTAGCACATGGTGACTTGAACTTGTGCTGCTCTTATATAATCAACCACACAGACTAAAAAAAGGCCCTTTAATGCTGAGCCACACAACTGGATGTCACTATAGACACACAACACGCACCCTGACTCATCACCCACACACTAACGTACAGCTGCCACTACACTGTTACCGCTATTATGGTGGTCAAAGTGTTGGAGGGGAGAAACTTCTGAGTAAAAAATGTTCAAGTTTGCTGCAAATCAGGACTGTGAGCGTGAGCGCACACGTGCAGCTCCGGCGTGGACACGTGTATGGAGTGTGTGGACGGTGGACGGACGTGTACACGCGTTTATCCTCCGACTTTTACGCGTCGCAGAAAAGAGAGAAACACGAAATGCGAGAGTAAAACACAAACAAATGTTGTACTGTGCCCGTGAGGTGTTAAGAGCCGGTTGCGGCAGTAGAAGGCTCGTGTTTTGGACTCATATTTAATGAGGTAACGGTGATTTGTGGACGCGTTCAGAGGGCGAGACCTACGTCATGCAGAGGTCCGCGGTGCGTTCATGTCTATCGGAAAAACCTGAAGTTGAGACCGTTGACGTGAACAAGTAGGTGAATGCATAAAACGACACAATAAAAACAGCTAATTTTGTATTATTACTATCATTGGTACTTGTTTTAGTCTATATTTCATGTGTAAAAATTTTAACAAAGTGCCTCCTAAGATTATTTTTAATACTACTTTGTCACGTACTCAGTAAATGGTATAAAATACAGATAAAATTACACTTAACTGAATTTTGATGAACCACATCTTTGAGATTAGTTGTACAGTCAGATTTGCTGTTCAGCTTGTCCTTCTTTAAGGTACTCTAGTATTTATGTTTCCTTTGCAAGCTACTCAATACTTCAACTACTATTTAAGCATTTTATATGTAATTTATTTTAAGAAAACGACCTGATAAGTTGCTCCCTGTTTATATTTTATTTATTGATTTTGTGAATTTTACTCTACTTTCCGTCTTGCGTTTTGCCATTCTTTTTGTGGCTGCCCATCTTGTAACGTTTACAGCACTTTGGTCAATTCATGTTGATTTATATAACTTGTGCTGTATAAATAAACTTGATTTATTTTCCAATGCATTTATTTGATGTATAGTTGCTCATTACTTTGCTGATTTAGATGTTTCAAATAACCACATGCTTATTCTTTAAAATATGATGCATTTAGTAATGATAACCCATTGGTATAATTTAGAATGTGATGTCTTATGAAAGAGGCTTCTCTGTATATTGAATGCTTGAACTTTAAATACTGATAGTCTGTTTTTCTCCCTATATTTATAATACTTACTGTTGAGTCAGGGCTGTTACAAAGGAATGTAAGATGCTTTTTTTGTTTTGATTTGTTTTACCACTGGTGGAAAAAAGACCCTACATTTCCCTTCTTCATAAATTTGAATTACAATATTGATACTTAAATGATCGTGTCAGGTAAAGGCCAATTCATGCATCTGAGTGACTATAAAAAATAAACCACCTCCTCAAGAACAAACAAAAAAACAAAAACTGTTAAAATCAAATCATTGAGGCTGCAACTAATGATTAAATTCACATTTATAAAGCTGGAATGAGAAGATTTAATCTCTTTTTTTCTTTATAATGACTGAAAGTGATTAATTGATTATCTGAATAGTTGATGATAAATCTAAAAGTTGACAACTAATCAATTAAGCGTTACAGCTCTACAAATCACACACAAGGTTTGATAAAGTTGCCTCATAGCTGATCATTTCTTGATTCTTATTAGTTATAAAAGTGACAATGACATGTGAAGCACACATATTTATTGTTATACATTTAAATGATGTATTTTAGTTGATGAGGTTTTGCTGTTTGCATGTTGAGGTCAGTTACATTTTAGCTTAATTCTGTTGCTGCAGAATACATACCAAAAAAATAAATCTGCTTCCAATTTGTGCACAGCGAGTCTTTCACTTCTCTTGCAGCACAAAACTGGATGGCTCGAACTCTCGATTTCTCTTTTTTAGAGCTGAGCTGAAGTAAATTAAACCGCCGAGTTAATCCGCGGTTACTAAAAGCACTTGAATGCGTCAGACAAAGTGGCACTTTACGACTTCCGAAATTGGAAATTAAGAGGTTTTATGACGAGGAAGCACTTGAAGGCAACATCTCGACCTGACCCAGAAGCGCGCTCCCGGCGTTACGTGGCTACTCCCCCTCCGCTCCGTGCGTGCGCGCCCCCTGGTATCGCGTGGTGGGGATCATCCATATTGCTGCTAGTGGTGGAGATCAGCCTGTAATCCTGAGAGGCCTCGGACACGTTTCTTTATTTTTTACATGTTTTAACCGAGCGCCGACCGCTCCGCGTCTTCGACTGAAGCCCTTTGGTCCGGGAGCGACCGAGGAGCGGCACCACCCCGCCGAGAAACTTCACATTCCCCCGAAAGTGAAGGCGAATTCGGGCCGGGAAGGGGAGGACTGGTAATCCTGAGGGGGGAGAAGAAAGACGGTGGTGGGAAATGGCCACTCAGGTGGAGGCTCTCCTGCCCGGCAACCCGCTCGCCAAGGCGGAGGAGCACGGCAAAGTGATCCGCGGTGAGCCGGAGGAGGAGGAGCAGGGCGGCCGGGGCGACGGGGCCAAGCGGCAGACGGGTGTCGCCGAGCAGGGGAACAGCAGCAGCAGCGGCGGCAGCAGCCCCGCACAGGGAGGGACCCCCGGAGCGGAGGAGCAGACCTCCAAACGGGCGACGGAGGAGGGCAGGGGAGGCGGTGACAGCGACGACAAGCCCAGCGAGGAGGGCGTCAAAGGCAGAAAGGAGTTTACCGAGGCTCCCCCGCCCAAGGTGAACCCGTGGACTAGGAAAATGAATGCGGTGACCGTGGTCAGCGTGAACGGACAAGCACACCACGGTCAGTAGCCTCCATACATGTTCATTTACTGGGTGTCAGTGTGTCCGTGCAGGTGTGGCCGTGAGCCGCCTGCACCGGGGCTCAGGTAGCGGTTAGTGGAGCAGAAACAGCCGAGGGGATTGATAAACAAGCCCTGTCCGTGTGTCGCCCTCTGCAAGCTGGTTATATTTGGAGTTAAAGCCCCCTCCCTGCTCATGCTGAGGGCTATTCTTGGGGTCTTTGGGTGCAACAGGGATCACACCCTTAATTAAAGTAGATTCAAATGCTCCACGATAATTTACTCCATTTAGCACCAGGCAATTCTATCATAATTTGAAGGTGTTACGTATAGATGCAGCTCCGTACACTGCTGTCGTGCACGTCCATGCACACGTTGTGTGTTAAAGTTGCTCAGCTCCAGAAAACCTGCATGCATTTCACTTGGGCCAAGTTCTGATCCATTTATTATTTTTTTTCTTGGCTTACCAGGGGAGGAGCGTCTTCATTTTAGCAGTGTCACCGTGCAACGCTGGCTGCATTGACTTCAAACTTTGAGCAGTATATGTGTCCTCATGTTGCTGCTGTATCACCATGTTGTGTGTCTGCTGCTGCCTCCCTCGATCACATCTGCTCCCACACTTCGCCCCCTGAGCTCGCCAAACGTTTAAACCACTATTTACTACTGTTTGTATGTTTGTTTTTCGGGAAAAGCTTCGACAGACGTGTAAACGAGGCATCCGCCCATGTCTCGCATTGCATCAATTAGCAGAAAAGCCTTGTAGCAGCAGCTTAGCCGGCTAACAATAGCACACACACACTCCTCTCCGGCCTAGTCCGCCGTCAAGCCCTTCCCATTCAGGTGTTAGCTTAGCTTCTAGGTGGCTACCCTCCACTTCCACTCAGTTTGTGGAAAACACATCGGCTTCTTAGTCTTTCTAAGATCTGCTCTCGACACTTAACCTCAACCCGACAGCAAACATGTGCTCGTTTATTCAGTAGAAAAGGAGCAGGTTTGTTATGAGACATCACGTGTTCTCTCCACGTGTTCCCCGAGAGAAAGGCATGGGCGCTGCTAGCTAGCTGGCTAGTTAGCCGACAAACTGCATCTCACCCGAGGGCAGATACAATCTCGGGTCGTTTAATGTGAGAGAAGCTGGGTGTTTGGTGGTTATTAAGTCGGTTGTCATGTCGTGTGTGTGTTGTCAGAGCAAACCAATCTGCCCCATAGCTTGCTCACCCAGCTAGCTTTGGTTAGCATGGAGGCTAGCAGGCAGAGTCATCATGGCTCCTGTGTGGTCCTACTCTGATCCAGACAACACATTGCTATTATTCATTAAAATACAACCTGTCAGGCACAGCTATATGATTGATTATGTGGAGTGATTATTGGTGGTTCTGGTGGAGGAGGCAGCTCCCTGATCTGTATCAAAGCAACGTGGTTTCATGATGCACAGACTGGTGTGAACCTCTGCAGTCACACAGTCAGGTCACTGTGACTGTGGCCTGCCGGTTGGCTATCTGTGCTGGCTCTTTGTTTGCCAGCTGGTTTGTTTGCAGTGTTGAAGCATGATGTGGACTTCAGGGTACAGCCTGTACCCAGAATCTGGACCAGCCCAGACGGGTTGGATGGATGTGCTCCAAAAGCTGTCACATCAGCACATGTTGTAAACATGGCAGGAAGCCAGCGGGTGAGATAGCTGGGGGTAGTGCCCCCTTCTTGATGTGGCTTTCAAGGGCCAGAGTTGTTTGAATCCAGCTTGTAACCTGGTTTGCTTGTTGTGTGTTTAGAGCAGTGGGTCCAACCTTTTTGTTTTCTTCTCAGAGCTTAAGAAGCCTCTTGGATGAGAGCTGAAACGTCTTCTTGAATCTTAAAGAGAAGTCCAGTTGCTGCTTCACTAAAACTCCTTTATCTGTCTGTCTTGTATGTAACACGTATGAGCTACTGGATACCTGGAATTTCCCCAAGGGGATGAATAAGGCATCTATCTATCTATCTATCTATCTATCTATCTATCTATCTATCTATCTATCTATCTATACATCTATACATCTATACATCTATACGTTTGTTATTGTGTAGAGCGTCTGCTTGGAAGTCATCGCTGGTTTTTTATTTAAGACTTGAGTGGCTGAATGAAAGGTTGAGTTTAACTCCTGGTTAATTGTATCGTATGCAGATAAGACGACTGAAAGGGAAGAAAGTCAAGGCTAGTATTGGCCAGTGATGGTGGATAAATAAGTTATATTGTGAGTAAATCTACTTGATGTTTTCAGCTGCATTCACACTAAAACCTTTTCACTTTAATATGCGTAATTTCTGCTGCATTCACGACCTACCGTCCACTCTACTCGCTTGAAAATTTAAGCATTATGTGAACAGACTTTTGGAGACTTGGACTGTTTTGTAATTTGAAAACTTTGAGCTTTGATTGTAGTCTCAGTGGACAGAAACTCAGACTTATGAAATAGTACCGCAGACACCATGTTTTCCTTCTGACTGGGCCTAAACTGTCATGCATATTGCTCCCTGATTTGTCAGACTTCTGTCACATGACTTTTCCAAAAGAAAACAGACATCAGCCTTGACTACCACCAAAGTCAACATTTAGAACAAATTGTTGTTCTTCCTTCAAAGTATTTTGTACAACAAACAACCAAACCTTTGCTTCACACTCAACCAGTGGTATCCATAAGCCCAGTGTATCTAAATGCTCATGTGATATATGTTTTTAGGTGTGCTAGTATGCATAGAGATTATTTCTGAACCCTTGCTAACACACTCACATAGACAGAGCTAGTTTTTGTTTTAAAAAACACAGTTTTAAAAATGTGGATGTCATGTAAAGCAAGTCAAGTCAATGCAAGTTCATTTGTTTGGCACTTTTTGACACCAATGCAATTCAAAGTGCTTCACAAAAACATAAAAAGCAGCAAGGGAATTTGTAAAAGTAACAAATCAAAATCAGCACAATTAAAAGAGTTGAATAGAGAAAGAAAAAGCATAAAACAGAAAACAAAAGTGTACAGCCACATCCTTAGAGAAGACCTTGCTTTGGTGATTCTTTACTAATGAAAAACTAAAAGCTGAGTCTTTTTTTGGTCTGTTAAAACAACAGAATGGTCTCTATTGAGTTGTGTGTGCTCTCGGTGTGCCCTTGAACAAGATCTGGACTCCTGTCGTGGTTAAACTACAAGCTGAATGACTTTAAATGTATTTTACAGTACAAGTATGTTGCTCTATGTGACTTCATTGGTGGCGAGAGAAGGGTGGATTGGAACAAGCAGTACATTGTGCCACTTCTGACTGGGTTCACTATTATTTCACATAGCTGAACCTTCACTTTTAACGTTTTCTCATCAGTGATATTTGTCTTGCAGCCAGTTGAAACCGGGACAAATGTGCAGACTTGAACATGACACATCATAAAATGCAAGACAGTGCAACCCAACTCATGAGCTCAGATAGAAAGTATAGAGAGCGACAGCACAGCATAAAACCTGTATCACATGCAGACATCACCACCCAACCGTGCAAGGAATTGTTAAAACGTCATTACTATTACCACCCACTGCTTGTTATATGCAAGACTGCTCCTCAGCTGACTCATCCTGAACACCTCGATGGAAGAAGAGATAAAATAGTTTGACTGAGCGACAGTTCAGTAAAATGCTGGTTGTGGTTGCTACTGTCAGAGCAGAGTCGGCTATGTTTGGTTGTTAGTAATACTGATGGTAAACATGACTGGGACTCGTCTTTAGGGTGTGCGGATGCATTCTTTATATTGTCCCCAAAAACCACTGTCGAGACTCTGGCATGCAGCACGACTTTCCCTCTGGCTGTTTTTTTTTTCTGCAAAGTATTGGCTACAGCCTTAAGGCCAATTCATGCTTGCCACATCTGCAAGGGTATGCGTGACGAAAATTTTGTCATCCATACAAATCTGCGAGGTTTGGCGAGGGTCTCTGCGCCGCCCAAATTTGTGACCATGTAGACGAGCAACACTACGGGCGTGATGACTGCACAAACAAGTGGTGCTTAAGACAAATGTTTGTTATGAGAAGGGAATGTACGAGGAGATTCTCGGCCGCCCACACCTTTTTAATCCATCGTTAAGAGTAGTCAGTAGAGTAGTCGCTGCCAGACTTTGGAAATGCTTTGATTTGTACATGCTTTCCATCAACGGAGCCCAGACACAGCTCTAAATTCTCCAGAAATCCTGTGCTATGGCTGCCCACTGTGCTCGACACAGCTTAGGAACATTTACTGACGCGGTGCTACAGTTAAATCTGTAAGTAGCTGCTATGTCCTGGAAAATTGCCTGTGTGTTTCTGTGTTCATCATAAGAGTCCTGGCAAATCAACTGGCCCTTAAAGGTGCCCTGTTGAGTTTTCATGTAAACAGAAGTTATGCTTACATATAGTGTTAATTGCCAAAGTACAATGTTGGTTTCCACGTGGCTTGAAAAACATGCTGAAGGGATTTCCTTCCTTAGTAAACATTTGCAAAGATCTCTTTATGAATATGTTTAAATTGTGCCTTTGTTGGGCAGCAGGAATATCTCATCTTTGTCTTCCTCGTGCACACGCATGATGCTAAACTTTGCTCTAAAGACCTTCTGTGTATAAAAAGCCCCACATGGCACCTTTAAGGCCTGATCACATTCAATTTTGCTTTGTATTGAATTGCATGGGAATGGGGAAGGACGTATTTGCTGATGGTTGCAAGTTGGTTGTGGGCCTTTGTCACTTTGTGCATTGTTCAATCAGGTTTAGCTTTGACAGACAATGACAAGCTAATGCCCTGCTTGTCTAAGCGAGGGGCAAGGCTGCGAGAGTCTGTTTGTCTACGCTACAAGAGTAGTCATTTGCATGTGTTGAATCTATAAATCCTCCCCACTGTACATGCTTGTGACTGGAAAATGATATAATAACAACTACTGTCCGTGTATTCTCAGCTGTCCATGTGTGCAGTCGCAAGGAAGTATAATCAAGGCTTAAGTGTGTGGAAATATTGATTGTCT